ATATTATCTTATACTATTTAATAGGGTTCAAGTCACATCAGAAATTATTAGGGAGGGTCTAGTTGATATTAGGTTGAGAACTGAAATTCTGATAAGTTCCACTGCACATGCTTAATATTTTTCTCTCTGTACCCTTGAAATCTATTTTTAAAACTGGTTGTGATTATGAAGATATTCACATTCTGAACTATGCTTTAATTTAACAAGTTATTATACTGGGGCCATTAAGGTCAAAGGGTGAAGCCACATGGGTAGTGGAAATTAAAGAACCAAGACCTCTATCTTCTGTCTCCCAGCCAAGCTTTCTTTTTGATAAAAACACTTTCTATTTTGAAAGAATTATGGATTCCCAAGAAATTGCAAACATATTGCAAGGTGGGACTGTGTGCCCATCCCCCAGCTTCCTCCAATGGTAACTAACATCCTACATAACTACAATACATTATCAAACCTAAGAAATTGGCATTAGAACAATAAATTAACTAGATTACAGATGTTGCTTGGATTTCACAGATTTTGAATACACTCATTTGCGTGTGTGGGTGTGTGTATTTCTACGATATTATCCCACATACAAATTTGTATTAATACCAGAACAATCACGGTATAGAGCTGCTCTGTCACCGCTAGGGAATGCCCTAGTACTACTCCTGTGTGGTCACATCCATCCCTCTCTAAGCCCTGGCAACTACTACTCTGTTTTTCATTTCTCTAGTTTTGTCATCTCTGTAGTTTTGACTTTATGCCATTCCTCGCTACCTCGAAATCAGTATTTCTGGGCCGATCTTCTCCCAAACGTCCATCTGGTCCTGTTCAGTGTTCCCTCTTTTGAAGCCTAGAGTTCCTTGATTCAATCAACCATAAAGGTCCCAGATGATCAGCGGCTGATACTGCAACGAATAAAGGTCAGTATAATCTGATGCCGACATGAAACCGACTCAACCTATTTCCCCAATGTGTTTCTGGGGCTGCCGTTGCAAAGTCCCACAGATTGGGTGGCTTAAACAACAGAGACTGATTGTCTCCAATACTGGAGGCTAGAAGTCTCAGATCAAGGTGTTGGCAGGGCCATGCTCCCTCTGACCGTGCTAGGGAAGGATCTGTTTTATGCCTGTCTCCTAGCTGCTCCTTGACTTATGGCAGCGTAACTCCAGTCTTTACACAGTGTTCTTTCTGTGTGCCCTTCTTCCCACCACGCTCCATCCATACGTGTGTGCTCAAATTTCCCCTTCTTATAGGGACACCAGTCATATTGGACTAGCCCCCACTCCAATGACCTTATTTTAACTTGATTGCCTCTATAAAAATCCTATTTCCAAGTAAGGTTACATTCCAAGGTACTAGGTATTAAAACTCCAATACTGTATATGATTTTTAGGGGACACACAATTTAACCAATAAAAACCAACATGCTGGAAACACACTTAGGATACCCTAGGAGAGTGGGCACTAGGAAAATATATGTATAAATAATAGTAGGAAAGAATAGTGAGGGACTATGGAAGTAAATACTTGCTAACTTTTTAAAATAACAAAATAACAACCTCTGGATGTTCAGGATTTAAAGTAAAAGGAGATGCTCCATGTGGGCCTAGGGGCTGATCTAGTGGGCCTGGCTTGGATCCCCAAGGTCTCACCCTGCAAAGGTGGCTCTCTCTACATGATAGCTCTGGCAAGAGCACTCTGTCACTCAAATCCCTGGCTAAGTGCAACCGTGGTCCCCTTACCTCAGTTTATCTGAATGTAGAAAAAGGAACTCAATAGACTCTCTGTCTGCTGAGGGAGAGAAGAGAAATACATGCAGATGCTTGCAGGTAAAACTTAAACACAGCATGTTTTTTAAGGGCAACTTTCAGATCCTACCTGGCTGGGCCTTGCACAGCAGAAATAAAAACTTAGGAGCCCTAAGTGAGCTGCAGAGAGGGGATCTTTTTACTTGCACGTGATCATAAAGGTGTCACGATGGATTCCAGGTGAACTGCACCACACACTGCTTTAGGATGTTGTTATGGACTGAATGTTTGTGTCCACCCCCGTCCCCCAAATTCACACACAGAAGTCCTGAGCCACGGTGTGGCCATATTTGGAGATGGGGCTTCTAAGGAAGTAATTAAGGTCAGATGAGGTCGTAAAGGTGGGGTCCTCATCTCTGTGAGAGTTGTGTTCTTATAAGAAGAGAAACCAGAGAGCTCTCACTTGCTCCTTCTTGTCTGCCCCTTCCCTCCCCAGCGTATGCGCAGAGAAACAGTCCTGTGAGGACCCAGTGAGAAAGCAACCAGGTCTGCAAGCCAGGAGGAGACCCCTCACCGAAAACCGAGTTTGCTGGCACCTTGATCTGGGACTTCTGGCCTCCAGAACTGTGACAATGTAAATGTTGTTCAAGCCACCAAGCCTGTGGGATTGTATTACTATGATGGTAGCCTGAGCAGACTAATGCAGATGTATACTCTCCGGCCCCAAAGGGTTGGCATAATTTCTCAGAGGCTCAGCTCCCAGTCTGTCCCCAAGTGGTGGCGCCATGGTCTTAACATCCCTCACTTGGGAACTGCTGCCCAAGTGGTGAAATCCAGGAAAGATCCCTCTGCAGCTCACTTGGGCTCCATCTAAGTTCTTGCCTCTGTTAATTTCAGACATGACCTTATCCCAGTGAGTGGCCCCTCTTCTGAAACTGTCCAAGGAAATACGAGTTCTTTAACTCCATCCTAAACATAATCTCTGGGCAACAGGCTTGAATGCTGCAAATAAAAATGAAAGACTTGGTTTCCATACTGAATGACTCAGTTTTTTTGTTTGTTTAAGCTAATTTACTCTATACTAGATTAGCTGCTGAGCTATATACTCTACATAGACTAACAAATTACAGACTAATACTTAGAGGCACACCATGTCTTTCAGGCCACTGCTTATAGGCAGTACGCAATGAGGGTTGGAGAAGTTTTAAAATGTTTTTTTCCTCAAAACCACTTTTGAACATGGGAGATTGCTCTGGTATTTTCTCTGTTTTCTGGCGTTCTCTGGCTTTGCATAGTTTCCTTGTGGTAGATTTAAAAACATAGCAAAATATTAAGTAACATCAAAAAATAAAAATTGAAAGTCTAAGCTAAAGAATTAAAAAAAAACACACTTCTAAAAGACATTAAGTGGAGGTAGCAAATATAAGGCATTGATAATAATAATATCTATGATTAAGTACTCATTTTGAGCCAGGCACTATTCTAAGCATTTTTATATGAGTATACTTATTTTATCACATAATCAGGGAATCTTAAAAACAGGGGAGATAGTAAATCGAGATTTATAGCATCCTCAAAGTTCTGAAGAAAAGTGGATTTTGTGTGGCAAGTAGGTAGTTGAAATTATCACACAGATATAAAAGAAACTCAGGGAGAAATATAACATACAGAAAATTTAAAGAGTACTGTACCATGATCTCTTTAAGACCATGCTATCGTAAAATATCAACTTATATACCTCATTCAGCTAAAAAGTGAACTTTAGGAGAAATCCATGAATGCTGATCAAGGGCACACCAAACTTCCTTGATTTTTTTCCTGCTCATTATTCTGTTTGAGTGATAATGTATAAAAATATTTTCAAATTTTAATATACCTTTTTGAGATTTAAGGATGGTCGTTATGACTTCTGTGGTTAAATGAGTTGGTTTAAATGGAAGCATTTTTGAAAGCAATAGAGTTATGCAAATACCAAAAGGAATTATATTCATTAAGGTATTTAGACAGCTTAAAAGTAATAACCATAACTCTTTCCATAGTATCACCATTTTGAAGAAATCTAGTGACCATTCATTTGGAGCTGTTTTCTACCTTTGGGTTTTGAAGTTCAAATGATATGAAACTTCACTGTGTTTTGCTGTTTTCTTTCCCACAGGTTATGCATACCTGTCGAAATTGACTCAGAAATAGACAGAACCTGTTTCCTAGAAAGTCTGGCAGGCTTTTTAATGGAAGTTGTCCAGTATAATAAGGATAGCATAGTTTTTAAGGTATGAAAATGAAGAAAGAAGGGGGAAAAGAAGTGGAGAAAGGTGGAGAGAAGAAAGAGAAGCTCTAGTAGGTGTCCTGAATTAATTATAGAGAAAGATACACATAGTATGGGGTTTCCTTAAAATTAAATAATATCCAAGCCTTTTTAAAGTACCACTTGTTTAGTGTGGAGTTGTTCCATTCAATGATGAAAAAATGTCTGTTACCCACAATTTCCTCTTTTTTCTCATCTTTTATTCTAAATCTATTTAGAAGCTATTTCAAAATAATGGAATAATGGATTCGCTGTAGGACAGAATTCAACTCTTTCATTATAATCCTTTATTTAAAAGATTTTAGAAAGGTATTCCATTAAGTATGAATACCCCAAGCTTGACCTATTTCATAGTAACAATTATAAGTAAATAGGAAAAAAATTGAATTATGTCTAGCACGGACTGAAGAGTAAGGCATGGGGAATTTTAATGATTTGAACAAGTCTGAGTTGCAGGAAATTGAAAAGAATTTTTAAATATAAAGTTAACATTTTTTTAAAACTCCTTTAATGCATGGGGTCTTTGGAATAAGAAAGTTTTAAAATGGAAAACTTGTGAACTTTGATACATCTAGAAAAAATAGCAACTCTTTCAGGAGATTAAGAAAATATTTTTGAGGAATGCCAGAGACTCAGGGGCATGTCCCTGAGACTGGGTTCCTAACTGAGGCAATCTCACCCCACGGGTTATTCTGCCCTGACTCAGCTGGGAAACTGCCAAGGAGAAGTACAAGAACGGCCATCTGATAGAACAAGGGAATCAAAGTGTTTTACAACTTGTATTGACTTTTTAGAAACTAATTATAAGCTCACAAGAAGTTGCCAACACTGTGCAGAGAAGTCTCATGGTCCTTTCAACCAGCTTTCTTCAATGTTAACATATTAAATACTCCAGCACATTATCAGAACCAGGAAAATGACACTGGCAGAATGCAACGAACTAGACAACAGATCTTGCTTGGATTTATATCAGTTTTTACATGCACTTTTTTTTTTAATTGACATTTACAAGTTGTGAATATTCAGCACAAGTTCCGAAAGTCCTAATGGGCAATGTCTCTAATATTTTCTCACCTTCCTTCTTCTTTTCTTCTTCCCTCCTTCCTTCACTCACTTTCTCACTCTTTTCCTTCCTGGCTTCCATCCTTCTGCATTGAGAACCAGTTTAGTGCCAGGCAATGTGCTATGTGCTGGAAAGATCGGTAAAGACAGACAGTGGTGGTGAGATCCTCATCCATTGTCCAGCCACCATCTCTCCGTCCCTCTCTGCCATCCTTATCAGACCCTTAACAGGCCCAACTGATGAGTTTTCCAGCCTCCCTTCTCCCACCCCAACTCCTTCCTATACATAGCTCTAGATTAAGCTTCCCAAAGCATAGTTCTTACGTCACTGCTTTCCTTGAGAAAGAGTTTTTAGAAAACTCTTCTTCACTAGCAGAATCAACCAGTACAACACATGTTCAGCTTACCACAACAAAAAGTCCCACCCCTCCAAGGTTCATAACTCATGTTCTGACCTCAGTCTACTATTTGCAGTTCAGGAACTCCCCCGCTTGATCTGACCTCCTGCTCCTCTAACCTCTGCAATGCCTCCCCATCTCCTCCTCTGTCAGAATATATTAAGTGTAGTTCAAACTTCACCTTCTCCTTGAAATCTCTTCTGGTGGCTCCAGGCAGATGCAATTTCTCCTTTCTTCAATGGCCCCCACTCCCAGTGTGTCTCTTACAGTCTTAACTGTGTTTGTTTTCTCCACCACTTTGTATCAAATGGGTCCCCTTCTGCTACTAGATCATACACCCTCCTCTGCAGAGACAGAAGTCTGCATCACTCTTTCAGTTTTTCTTTAATGTGTGGAGAAGGAACATGGATGGGCTTGGCGTCAAGAGAGAACTTCACAGTCCCCTGCCCTCAGTTTCTGCCCCTTGCTACATACCCCGAGAGGTAGATCCTACTAGCTCCAGTTCTCTTGGGGCTAGTATATCTACATCATGGACATTCCATGAGATGCCCCATGTGGATGCCTCATGTAGGGCCTGGCATAGGGAATACGTGCGAAATCAGATCTTCAAGTAAGAGTGGAAAATGGTCTTTCTAAAAGGGAGAAAATAGATTTTACAAATATGGCTGTCTTCCAAGGGATTAGAGGCTCTTGGACTCGGGGGTCACTTCAAAAACTCTAAAACCAGCATTGGGGCCGGGCACAGTGGCTCACGCCTGTAATCCTAGCACTCTGGGAGGCCGCCGCAGAAGGAGAGCTCGAGGTCAGGAGTTCAAGACCAGCCTGAGCAAGAGCGAGACCCCATCTCCACTATAAATAGAAAGAAATTAATTGGCTAACTAATATATATACATAGAAAAAATTAGCCCGGCATGGTAGCACATGCCTGTAGTCTCAGCTACTTGGGAGGCTGAGGCAGGAGGATCGCTTGAGCCCAGGAGATTGAGGTTGCTGTGAGCTAGGCTGACGCCACAGCACTCACTCTAGCCTGGGCAACAAAGTGAGACTCTGTCTCAAAATAAATAAATAAATAAAACCAGAACAGAGTTCAAAATCCTCTAAAAGCTAAGGTCATTTTGAGAGGGGAACTGCCACTAACTCTTGATGACATGTGCCAGGAGTGACAAGGTCAGGCCAGGAAGCAGGAACTCCCAACTCCTCTCCCCAAACACTGCTTCTAAGGGTCTAGAATAACAGAATCATCTACATCTACTCCCTCACCCCCTATACATCTGGGTCTTTTAGTTACACTCTCCTCCCTATTCCCTTTGGAAATAATTGGAGACAATTCTTGATTGTTTCTAAAGGCTAATTCAAGGAAAAACTTGGCGTATGATTTGCATATATGTTAGCAAATTTGCATATCATTCATAAGTTTTTCTTTTATTAGCCTGGAAGGTTGAGTTGAATCTATATGCATCCTTAGCTCTCCAACCCCTGGCCTCAAGCAATCATCCCTCGTTGGCCTCCCAAGGTGCTGGGATTACAGGCAGGCCTGGCCAGTATTTTCTAATCTCTTTAAGGGTATACAGGGCCCACATTTTACCAGTATTAATGGATTCTTGGGGGTACAGGCATTTCCCTGTGATTTAAACTGTAAGGATTAACTTCATTCCCACCCTCTTACTTAAAGGGCTGGGATTTGCTTACTTTGTAACCAGCATGCGGGGACTCCCCTTTGGCTGGCAGGAGCTCTCAGCAAAGAGGGCAATCATTCCAAGACGTGGAGGCCAAATATTATGTGGGCGGCCTCCAGTGATCTGGAAAAGCGTTTAGAGGTTACTTTGAGACTGATAAAGTTGTTCTGCCAGAAGGCCAAGATCATGTAATTTGATCTTTAAACTTATAAGACTTGTACCAAAATAAATTTACCTCCAAAGGAACATTCAAGAGCCTTGAGCCATCCCATGTTGTTGATGAATAATAATAATAGTGAGATAATAATATGAATAACAACCACCGCAGACCAAGGGCCTATCTTCTCCCAGACATTATACTAAGTAGTTTAGAAACTTTCTCTTGGAAATTCTCATGGTGTCTCTGTTAGTAGCGTTTTACAAATGAGAAGCCCAGGCTTAAAGATTTTAAGTCACTTGCTCAAAGTCACAGGGTTACCAAGGCATCAACTCAGGATTTAAAACCGAGTTTCTCTGGCTGAAAGCCACGCCTTAACCACTGCAATCTGATAGATTCCATTTTCTTAACTACTTAAAAAAAAAAAGACTTCAAATTAATTAAATTATTTTATGCCCCTTTGCTTTCCTTTCTTTTTCTTTCTTTTTAAATTAAATATTCACACTGTCATGGGGAAAATTCCAGATTTCCTGAGCATCCTCTATGAGTCAGTCTGTTAGACATTCCACTGTCTTTCTCTCATTTACTCCTGATAACCACACTTGCAGATGGGCATTGTTAGCTCCACATTTAAAGATATGGAAAACTGATGCTCAGAGAAGCTAATTAACCTGTCTGAGGTCACACAGCCAATGTGAGGCAGAGCCCAGATGTGAGCTCATTCTCACAGGATGGCACGATGATGTTTCCTGTGAGAACTTTCAAAGGAAGCCCATGTGCTCATTAAAATTCCAGCCTGGCTCTTCACACTCCAGATTCTTTTCCTCAGCACCTGTTGGCTTGTTGATGAATCTTAATGAATCATCTCCAATAATTTCTTGGGGTGTGCTTTGGAGTTAGGAAGCGGCTGGAAGAAGCATGGTCATGGGTAGAATTTTCTCATGGATGCTTATTTTTTAGTTTCCAAGATTATTGTTATTTATAAGAGATCTTATTATACCTTGGGCTTCATGACTGAAATCTCATAACATTCTTAGAAATATGTGGGTTGGTAACTACAAATTTAAAATCTTTACAGCATGGAATTTTTTTTAGATAAAAATCTATCTTTTATTCTGAGAAGAGACCAAAAATAGATTTGGGGGATTTTCATGGCCCTAAAGGGAAGGCAAGTGGTTTTATAGCTCTAGTATGAAAATGAATATTTGTCCTTGGAAATGCCACATAGGAATGAGAAATACATATTAATTCGCTCATACCTAATGTGATGGCATGTAACAACCAATGCTTGGCAAATTAGAGATATTTGAGGCATTTTCTGTCACTCAAGCAAGTAGCATGAATCCAGGCCTCGTAATAATGGGGCTTCGGCGACACCAAATCAAATCAGACTAAAGACACTGTAATGCCACTGTGTAGGCCTCGTGGTGGGAGGTGGTCCTGTCGGTCAATACCAGCATCTAAAGGGGTTGGACTCCACCAGAATTTCTCAAACTGTGGGCCAACGACGACTTGCATCAAAACTACCTGAAATGTTTGTTGAAACTGCAGATTCCTTGGGCCTCGCCCTAGAATCTCTAGCATGGGATCCAGAATTTGGTTCCTCAGGCAATGCTCATGCAGAGTGGATAAGACCCATCTTCTGTACTAACCACCCTGGTCTGTCCTTACCCTGTCCTTAATCCTACCATAGGGAAGTCTTACTGTATGTGTGAGGATACATTTACAAAGGATAATTACACTTCCTTTCATCATATTCCATTTCTCCAGCAACCCTTTCTGTATTAGTAATCAGCTTCACATGTTCTCTGCAAAGGTAGCGTTTGGAATGCCCAAGCCCACAGACAATTCAACAAGTATAATTCGAGAAATCTAATTCAGCCAGTGTGTTTAACCTTCATCCACTCTAAAACTTTTGTAGTTTTTAATAAGAAGCAAATTTGAAATATTGACTTTTCTCATTCTTTTAAAAACATTCCCAGGAAGGCCATTTATTCCTCTGATGCAGAAAATTAACAAAAGTGTCAATTTTAGGCATTCAGACGAGAGAGGAAAAGATTGAGGATTCTTTGTGCGTGGCGCGTTTGTGCGCGCATGCGTGTGTGTGTTCAGCCTTGGTGGCTCCAGTTGGGAATATTGCGTTGGATATAAAACTGGGCAGGACCCCAGTCTGCATGCTTCTGTCCAGGGTAATTTTTTTCCTATACAAAAGTACAGGAAATTGGTTTGGGGTACTTTGTAATTTCTGAGACGCTTTCCCCTGGAGATAAGAGATGTTGATCTGAGCACTTTTCTGCTGGATGAATCAAAATGATGGGGGTAGAGAGGATTATTAAGCCGGAAAGTGATACAGAGCCTTTCCCAGCCTCCCTGGGGCTTAGCGCTATTTTCCTGCATTTGCTGGTGAGGGGAGCAGGGTGGGGTGTGAGTGGAAAGCCAAGCCACAGGCTGCAGTTCCGTCCGCAGCTAATGTGAGGGCTGGAGGCTGACTTGTGCCCAAACGTGGGGAAGCTGAGCTCCAGTGGTCAGCGGCTGCCAGGCCCCACAGAGCCCTGATTTATGGCTCAGCTGAAGAGACACTACATTGCTTCCTAATTAAAACCTCGTGCTCTGTTTCTGTCAGGAAAGGCTATTTTCCTGCCCAGTCACTTGCTCTTTCTTTCCTCAAAAATCAAAACCAAAAACCGAAACAAAAGCACCCCCCAAAACTCTCAAAATAGACATATCTGTGTGCCATGACACTGTAATATCCTTGCTAATCGGGGTGTTCAGAAAACACATCGCCAGTTGCTAATTAGTATGTTGTTAGCAAAACGTATTTTTCTTTCTAAGAATAACCCAGAAGGGACTTTCATGACTTTGAACAATCGAGGTGAGAAAAGTCACAGATTTTTGCCCAAATCCCTTTCCGGCTGGATGACAGCATTTCAGTTGGTTATTTCTTCATGAAAGGATGGCTTTAAGTCCATAACTTGGTGTTAAGTCAGTTACAGAATGTTAGAATGTTGCTTCCCTCCCATAAATACAACTCAAACCTGTGCCCTGGGCTGATCCTCCTTGGCTATCTTCTTCATTAAGTCACCCACCTGTTCAAAAACTTCTTATTACTATGCCTTATTGTTTATTCCATATTCTCAAATTTATAATGTTCCATAATTGAGTCACATTCTATCATCAGTAGTTATTTCCGCTTTTTGTGTTGGATACTTCTCATGACTAAAGAGCAATAATAGTAATAGTAAGTATAGTAGCAACGCTATTAATACTTTTTATTGAATACCCTTTGTTCTGGATGCTATTCTAAGGGGTGATTTCACTTAATCCTCACAACCAATTTATGACTAACCCTGATTAGCTTATTCTCATTGTGTCCAAGAACACATGAACAAACAGGCTCAGAGCGCTTAATTACATGCTCAAAGTCACACAGGCAGGCTTGCTTGGTCATTCGTTGCACACAGTTGCCACCACTACTTCAGATATATCGTTCTTCTTGCCTGAAATGCACTCTTCTTATCTCTATTTATCTAATACTTATGCAACCTTCCAGACCCACCTCAACTCCTGCCTCTTTCGAGAAGCTTTTCCTTGTGATTCTAGCTCTCGTTGGCCTCTCTCTTTCCGGAGGCCCCGGAGCAGCTCATTACTGTTTTTATATCACAGGTGTTTTGTTTTCTTTGACTGGAGCCTTTCAGGGGGTTGATCTTTTGCTTCTCCCAAAGGCTCTAGCACTGTCCTGGAGACAAAGTAGATGTTCAATTAATGCTTTCTTATTTGTAAACCCCTCAAAACCAAATACTCACCTAAATGCCAAAAAGTCCTCCCTGACACAATTGTTTTAAGAGCTGTGTGTCATGCGCAAGGGATAGCAACTTGGCTTCTAATAGAGCTCACAGCCCACTCAGGCAAGTTGGCAGTTTTCACACGTTGAACTTCAAGCAGGTCATGAAAGAATATTTACATTTTACTTGGATAACAGCAATCATGATTTAAGCATTTAAGTAATTTATGGAGATGAATTCAATTTGGAAGCAAAAGTCATCATACATATATTCTTTTAAGGATATTAGAGTCTCGATTTTTACAGGGAATACTGGGGTCTCAGGTCCACACTGATTTTCTTTGTGAAGTGATAACGAATGCCTCAAGATATGCAACAGTGAAAAATAAAATGCTCCAAAAAATAGTGTGCCTTGCCTTTTTGCAAGTTATCATCATGTGAAGAATCTTTGTCTGACTCCTACTTGGACCAGCCAAAATGGAAGCCGCAGATGCCCCACTCTGACAGGCAATAATAATAACACATAATTTTGCAAGCATATGCACACAGGTATACTAATGGCAGTCGTACAGGTTTAACACTTATGACCAGATGAGTCATATTCATAATGAAATAGCTTATATAACTGCTGTCATCTGAAATACCATAATGGACAATCTAAGTTTTTTGATGATGTCAATCAAAAAACTCAATGGCTCACCATTGTATCATGATCACACCAGTTGCCCAAAGAACTGAGATCTCAAGAAATTTGAACTTTCACAATTGCATATATACAAAATGGGCATCTCTTCATTTGTTAAAGATGTTTCAACAGTTTCATGTATTCAAACAATGCTTACACACAAAGTCAATGTTATAATAACCAACTTTCATGGAGTCAAATTTGCAAAAAATGCATAAAGTGAATTAGAGCTCTCTAAAAGTTTTTTTACACAATTTATACCTCCAGTATTGGAAATTATGCAAAGAAGAAATATACAGCATAGCAAATTGTAAAAAATAAGGCTGACAGTTTAAAATAGTCGGGATGGAGGAAGCTAACAAATGAATAACAGCAACAAAAAGACCCCAGAAAACAAAACCAAAAAAACAAAAAAGAAAATTTGACATATGAAAAAGTGTATCACAGGGATAGATTATGGACAATTGCACAGAGGGAGTCTACAAGAACTGGCCAGCTTTCACAATTGTTAACTATGTTTTGAAGTCTTGCACTGCAAAACGAATAGCTTTTTTTTGTCCTTTTAGAGTATGGTTTTCCCTGGAGAATAGGTTCACATCGTTTTCAACATGACACTGTTCTTTTATACATTCTTTTATAATTCAGTATAGACCAACACAAGCACTTCCTATTAAATTTTCCTATCTTCTGTGCCATGCTTCTATGTTGCTTTAGGTATGCAGAAATCCATTCCACGTACATTCATACACACACCCCAAATTTGGCAGAAACAATACTGGTGATTGAAAGCAACACCATTGCATGTCTTTTCATCCTACCATACTCACGATTGTTTTTGAGCCCGTCAGTAACTTTGCTGGCTTCTTCAAGTAAAAGTGGCTTTAATTCATTAAAAGATCCTGGAATTTCATCAGCAGGAAGGAATGTCAATAAAGACACATGACACATTTTGAAACTGAAGCTTTTGTTGTTGCCGCGTCACCTGGCCAATCCACTCATCTGAATTTTCTACCAAATGTACCTGGCTGAATGGAAAAACAACTTTATTGGTAACACCTTGAAAACTGCTTTTAGAAACCTTGATCTCACCTAATTCCAAATCTGTCATTTTGGTTTGTGGGTTCAATTAGATGTTAGGAATTTAGATTTTAATCTTTCGGAATTAGGATTGTCACTATTATGATATGAATGATTCTTAAAATTGTTAACTAAAGTGCATGATCATGTATACATTTTTTATATAGCTACTAGACTTTCAATGAACCAAATTTCTAAATTATTATTCATAATTTGATTCATTGATTTAGTCAGCCAGCCGATACTGGCAACGTCTAGGAGAGAAGTGCTCAGCACAGCGTGACTGAGGGTTTGGCCATCGTGAGAAGCAGAGACATCACTCCTCAGGAAGCTTCGCAATGAAAGGTCTGAGAGACGCTGAGAAGTTAACTAGAGAGGGATGCAGAGGGAACAGAGCAGGTCCCAGCAGAGCCTGTGACTAGAGGGAGACTTGGACAGACCCCAAGTGCTGAGAGGAAGGAAGGGGGCTTCTTCAAGAGCAAGTAGGAGCCTTGATGGCACGCCTGATCATGGGACATGGTTTCAGTACTTTGGTGTGTGTTTGTTGAAAAATTCAACTGAGGAACATAGTCGAAAACATGGTAACAAGGAACATCGCAAAGAAATGAAAGAATTTAAGTTGTCTGTTTTGAATTTTAGATTCACCAAGCTGTGCTGGATATGTGAAACAGGACAGATCACTTTGGTCAACTTTATTATCACCGGTTCATAATCCTTTGTTCATATTCACTGGGTTGGTGGAATAATATATGGTTCCTGACCTCAAGAATTGTTCACTATAAGCAGAAACGAATAAATATGAAGGATTTTCAAGGTGGTTTCTTACTCAAAACTAGGGAAGGAGGATTATTCATGATTACGTGTGTGTGTGCATTATGTTGTACATAAAGATGCAAAGATATTGTAATATGTAGAAATATCTTGGAGAGTAACATTGTGGCAAAAGTTTAGGTTCAAAGCCCATAGTTTCTCCTATCGAAGTCCTCAAACTCTCAGATTCCCTAATGAGAAATGTGCCTATGACTTAGTTAAAGTCTAGAATGTGAATTGGGCCATATTTTTCAAATGTGGTGTCTGCACTGAAGGTGCTGGTACTGGGGCCAACACCCGCTGTAGTCTCACGTCTTCCCCCAGAGTGGGCAGGAGGCCCATCCAGTTCCTCTACTCTTTGTTCCCCTGTGGGCATATTTTTCCTCCTAGAGTACAGGAGGGGAAATCTGGCTTTTTCCCTTGGTTTGTTTCTTCAATCTTCAGTCTGGGCTCTCAGCTTCTCCTGGTTTGACCAACCCGGAACCAAGTGGGTTTGAATAGCCGTGGGGCAGTCCTCTCCTCCTCTCTGGGTGGTGGCGGCTGTCTCTCTCACTGCCCCTGTAAGCCCTTCCCCCCTGAAGAGGCTGGCGCCCTCTGCACGGAGCTTTCTTCCTCCCACTGTGACTGCAGTCAAGGTGCAAGTATGGGCTTGGTGCGAAGACAAAGAATAGACCTCTCTGTTTTCCCTGTTCTGAGGGCACGAATGGCTTTCAGGCAACAGCAACTCATGGCCATCTACAGCCACCCTCACCAGTACTCCACATTTAGTTTTGTGCCCAAGGATCCGGCTACAAAAGTACTTTTGCTGGCTACATTCCTCAGTGCTTAGCTATTTACCATAGGACCCCATAGGAGGAGTGGCTGGGCTAGTGTGGGTATTCCTGGGACCTCTGCCCAAAGCTCACCATAATATATCTTTCACATTCACCCGTGTGTGAGAGAAGCTAAGTTTTAAAAACAGAGGAATAACTTCTAGTTAAGCCCAACAGAGTGAGATATTATAGGAAATATTGTGGGCAAGAATATATTAGTATGATACATATGCACAAACCAAACCAAAAGTTCCATTTTCCTTGCATTTAAACTTTATTATTCTACTTTAAAACCTGCTGCAATGAGTACAGCTTGTTATTTTGTCCTGAAAACATTTGGAATTTCACTTCTCTTACAATGACACAATCCTGTCCAAATAGTTGTCTTTTTGAGAACATATTATATGAGCTAAAATTTCTGTTAATATTGGGAGGTATAATGGGAAAGATTATTAAGCCTGTTTTAATTTTTTTAATGAAAGAGCCGAGAAGGAAAAGGAATAAATGGCTTGTGCAAAGAAGCCAGCTCATGAATGCAACTGAAATGACACAGTATCAATGATTCATAGCATTTAGAAACTGACATTTTGATTCAGACAAGGATTTCTTCTTTTCCCTGTTCTTACACTATATTCAAGATGTTTTAAAAAATTATTTTAATTGACAAATAATAATTGTGTACATTTATGGGGTGCGATGTGTTGTTTTCATTTATATATACTTTGTAGGAAGAGTCAACGAAGCTAATTAACATATTCATCAACTCACCAGCTTATTTACTTTTTTGCAGTGAAAATGTTAAACATCTATTCTTTTATCAATTTGATTATGGCCATGGGAGACTGGTTCTAGAGAACATGTGTTTGTTTAGCTGAGTCAGGACGTACATTGTGTACAAAGACCAAAGGAAGATGCTACTTTGCTGTGTCAAAAAAAAAATTAGGTCTATGTCAAGAATTTGATAACTTCAGCAAATCAAATAGATTTTCATTAAGAATTAAATTCTTAGAAATAAGATACTTGAGCAATAAATTTTCGATAATTCCCTATTTTAGGCTGAAGAAATTCTGCTAGCTATTTTAAGTAATTTGGATTTTTAGGGGAAAAAAACAAATTTAAAAACACCACCAACAACCACAATCTTTCTTTAAATATTTTTCCCACACTCCTCAACTCTGCTCCCTATCACCTACATTTTTTCTTATTTTCTTTGCAGTATTTATTTCATCAACGTTCAGATGTCTTTGGCTCTAAGTTCAATGGCATTTAGTGGATCAGACAGTTCAGGCCGCCAGTGATTTCTTTTGTAACCTGAATGTGACAGGAAGAAAATCATCTTTCCCAATGGTTTCATTGGTCCCTGGCACACTCTGGGAATCAAAAGGGTACCAGTGAACATTTGCCTACTGTTTTCATTGAAGAAGGTAACACAGTTGCAACTAGTCAAAGATCCACGTCAAAAAGTGGAAAACATCAAGATGTATTAATAAATTGCTTTTGACATTGTTATTGACAGGAAACAGAAAATACTTCTAAGCAGGTGATAGGTAAGCAATCTAGCCTTTACTAGT